TGTCCCGTGAAAAATGTGGAAACCAAATGTTGTCCCAAATCAGGACGGAAAAGCCAACAATGAACGATCTGCAGGAACTGAAATCTGGGGGAAAGACCTGTGTTGGCTCCTTGCATGCACTGGCGGGCGGGTATTTTGTTTCAGTTTCGGCCCCTGTGTTATTTAAACAATTTGTAGCTCACACAGAGTAGATTCCGAAGTGACGATTTCGTCCCAGACAGGGCAGAACGCTGTTCCCCATTCTTCCTCCTGAGCCAAAGGCTGTCAAAATCAGGGCCGATTTCATGGGGGAAAACGGGTTTAATCCAAACGGATTTCCCAGCGGAAACCTGCTTGGAGGAAGTTTTCCCGCCCAGCTGCGATCGCCCCGGCTGCTGGCATCACCGTGTGCTGGAGACGGCTCCCGCCGGGGGCTATTTGCCTTCTCTGGATGGCATGGCCGGCCCCACCGAAGAGCTCCTTGCTTCCCTTGGAGAACCAGATTCTGCCTGCAGCGTGTCTGTGCCGGGGGGGCTGCTGGAGTCGGAGATTCCCGCATGTAGCATGGCGTTGTAGGGGATGCAGCCCGCTAGTGCCGGCACCAGCCTCTTCCCGGGGAGGGGAGTGAGCTGCGCTAGACAGAAAATTGGGGGGGCCTGTGCCCCCCCTTGCCACAAGGCCCCGCCCCTCTCCATGGCCCTGCCCCCTGTTGCTCCTCAGGTAAGTGCAGGCTCTGTGGATACTCACCCCTTCTTGTCAACTGTTGGGAATGGGCCACACCCACCCTAATTGAATTGGCCTCGTTAGCCCCCACTAACCCCCACTTGGTACGGCAACTCCCATCTTCTCATGTGCTGTGTATCTATATCTGCTACTGTATGTTCCACTCCATGCCCCTGGTGAAGTGGGTTCTAGCCCACGAACGCTTATCCCCAGATAACTCTGTTAGTCTCTCAGGTGCCACAAGGATCCTCGTCGTTTCTGCTGATACAGACGAACACGGCGACCACACTGAAACCTCTCCCCACTCTGAGGCCCTGCCCCCTGGCCAGGTCAGAGGCTGGAAGCCGGAGCCAGGCAGTGTGGGGCGGCTGCTGCACTGGCTGATGCCACGGTGTGGGCAGCCGCGGTGCCACTGGGAACAGCCGCCTGGGCGGGGTGACCTGGCTCTGGGGCCGGCCGAGCCCAGCACCCAAACTCCCTCCCAGAGCCCGCACCCCTCCCGCACCCCAACTCCCTCCCAGAGCCCGCACCCCTCCCCCCCCCCAGCGCCCGCCCCCCGCCCGCACCCCTCCCGCACCCAAACTCCCTCCCAGAGCCCGCACCCGTCCAGCACCCAAACTCCCTCCCAGAGCCCACACTCCTCCCGCACCCAAACTCCCTCCCAGAGCCCGCACCCCTCCCGCACCCAAACTCCCTCCCAGAGCCCGCACCCCTCCCGCACCCAA